AGCACTTGACAAGGCTGCAGCCGAATACAAAACCCAAGCTGATAAGAAACGGGCCCCCTTAAAGAGGGGGATCTAGTGTACCTTTCCACTAAATATATTAAACTTCGGGTACCTAACCGCAAACTAGGGCCCAAATATCTGGGCCCCTTCCCCATTAGCAAAATTATTAACCCGGTCACCGTGGTTTTGAAACTCCTGCCCCTTCTGGCTAAAATTCACCCAGTATTCCACAGTAGCCTGTTGAAACACTGTGAGACCCACACCTGATCCACCCTCCCCTTTCGTGGTGATCCCTATGAGATAGAAAATATATTAGATTCCCGACTTCATAGGGGAAGACTACAATACCTAGTACAATGGAAGGGATATCCCATTGAGGAAGCCAGTTGGGTCCTTGCAAGGGATACCGCAGCCGATCAGTTAATACACCGGTTCCATAAGCGTTATCCCTGGAAACCCTCAACCGATGCTAACCCTTCTGCTTTCTGTTTTCCAGAGGGGACCTTGGTGAAAGGGGAGCCGCCTGTCGAGCCCGGCGTGCTCGGCATACAACCGGGACGGGAAGGCGGATCGGAAAGAGTAACACATCCCCACAAAACTACAACGTAGAGGGGGCACGGGAAATAAGCGGCACGGGAGATGGTGGAGGGGCGTCGGTGGAGGGATTCGTTTAGGACGCGGAGGAACCCAGAATGAGGAAACCGGAAACGTTGCTACAACTCATCCCAACACAGCTGAGCCACACTTTCATCAAGAGAGGGGTGGGGCACTAGGATATAAAGCGTTGCGAGACGGATGCTCATAGTGCCAACTTTGAAAGTTTGTAGCTTGGCGTTGTTCTGTAACTGATGAAAAGCATTAAACCAGCATTCACTCTCCAATTGATGTATCCAGCTGTGTTTTATTGCTGTCTCCGTGCTGTGTGGAACAAGGAGCTGAGACATTTGTTGGATGGGAAAAAAGAGGAAATTACTCAGAGGATTCTGATTTTGGAGGATCAAGAGGCTGTCAGGACTGAAAGGGAGATTGGCATAAATGGAACAGCGGTCTCGGCAGACGTTTCCATTCAACTGACAGAAAAGCAACAAATAGACTCTTTATTGCAAGCTGACAAACTTCATGGCAACAAATTTTGGTTTTATGGACAAAGGAATGAATTGAATGATTATACAAGCAAGAAGAGTCAAAATGGAGACTTTAAATTAGAAAAAGTTATTTCAAGAAGAGAGCGAGTTTTCCAGATACATCAACCTCAAATTAACATTTTTAAATTTTCAAAAATAAAATTGGGGGAAAGAACAATGTTGAAAGAATTAATAAGGAAAAAGGATTAGAAAAAATATAGAAAGAAGAGAAGAATAGAAGATTAAGGTTTTTTTTTCTTTTTTTCTTTGGGGAAGGAAGACTCTAGTAATAAATTGGAAAGTTTAGTCACATTGGTTTTGTTAAAAATGGCTAATTGAAAATTTGAAAGATATCTTCCTGTAGATTTCGAAATTTGCATTTGGCAAATATGTGTTTTAATGGTATTAAGAGATTTTTAAAATGTTTAACATAAGATTATATTATTTTAAAAGATATATGAGATAAATTGTGTAAGCTTTCAAGATGCCCAACTTTTTGAAGCAAAGAGGATTAATGTTAAATTCAGAATTTTATTAGGGAGTAATGTTCAAAAAGAATGATGTTCGAAGGTATGAAAATGAAATTAATTCATGATTTTTACTGTTCGTAATACTGCTAAAGTATTGGATTATACATCAAGAAAAAGTTTTTTTATAATTAGGAAGAATGAATTTAACTTAATTGGTCTTGAGAATTTATAAAAGGGAGGTTGATGAATTGGAGCAAGGGGAGTTAAAGAACATGTGGGAGTTTTGAACTTTATAATTAGTTTATTTTAGCATATGTTTGTTAGATGCTATACCCTGTTTTTGCTCTGGGAAGTCAGGGGGGTGGGTGGGGAGGGTGGGATAAGGATTGGGGTGGGAAAAAAGTGGTGATTAGAGAAATGTTTTAACAGAAAAATAAATGTGGAGGAAATGTATAAATAATGAAATGATGTGGGGGAAATGTAATAATAAATGAAATCATAATATTAAGTTGCAATAGTTAGAAGATTATAAGAATAAATGTACAATTAGGATGATAATGCAGATAGATAGAATAAATCTGAAAAGAAACTGAAAGAAAGTATCTACGATTAGAATACAGGAGTTGCTCAGATACTAAAGGAGGAGAATATTTCACAGCAAAGAAGTTAGAAAGGAGAGAGGAGGGGAGGGTAGGAAGAGGAGAGGGAGGAAGAGGAATGGAAGAAAGGAGAGGAGGAAGGGAAGGACAGGAGTAGGAGTGAAGGTGAGAAGGGGGAAAAGAATAGAGAAGTGGGGAAAAGGAAAAGTAAATAGGATGAGGTAGGAGAGGAGGAAGGAGAAAGTAGGAGAGAAGAGGAGGGAAGGAAGGGAAAGAAAGGAGGAGAAGAAAAAGGTTTGTTGTGGAATGAGGGAAGAAAGAGAAGAAGAGCAACTCCGAATTTAATTAAAATGCCTTATTTTAATGCTTTCTTTAAGGGAAACATGTATATGTAGGATTTATTATGTATAAGAAAATGCACATTTTCTATTATGTGGGGAGGGGGAAAGGGTGGGGGGAGAAAATTGTTTGTATTTCTTTTCAATAAAAAAAATTTAAACTTGCTGGTAATTTTAACACAATGACAATGAAGGTGAAAATTTTCTTTATAGGATCATGACAGCCAATAAACAAGAGGTTTTCATTATGACCCAGAACCAAAAAATGATTCATGGTGTTGGAAGAAATCTCCTTCTAGGTTCTGCTCCAAGTGGGGAAACAGACACTGGAAACATGGAGACTGCTTGGAAAGATGGTTTAATGGTGGACAGGATCACATGGCTTGAGTTCCTGAACAGAAAAGGGGACAGATACAGGGAGTCCTTGGGTTTTTATGCTCTCTCTGGCTTTGCATTTCCTGGGGCCCCGAAAGAGTATCCTGATTGGTTGTCAGACTCCCAGGGGGTGGGGGTCTTAGCTAGCCTTGCTGGCTGATGGTCACATGTGCTTCCCAGGTCACATGCTTCCCAGGTCACATGTGGTGAGTTTCTGCTGCTATTGTGTAGAGGGCTAATCCTATCTTTGTTGGATTCCTACAATTCCTACTATGGCTCTGCCTGAAGGAGGTAGATCTTTGTTATGTAGAATAGACTGGCTCAAGCCTTAATGGCCCATTGACAAAGAGTGGGGGCAGGAAGATGGGAGCTGCTTCAAAACATGCTTATCCCAGGGAAATATAATATTCTGCCTTTTTCATATTTCCTAAAATATTTCACTCTTCCAAGAAAGGGGTGGGTGCTAACTTCCTACAATGGAATATCATCACAAAGCTTCACCTCCTAGAATGAAAACCTAAGAAATATGAACCCAGGCTTTGGTGGGAAAATTTGTAATGAGAAGTGTTTGGGACTTCAAGCAAGGCAATCTGTGTAATACATGCAGATGATATTACACAGATCGCCTTGAATATAGTACTAGTATCCATTCAGAGCAGAACTTTTAAAAAGTGGTTAAGAAACGTCTGATAGCACAAGAAGGAAATATGTTAACTCTAACCTTATACCTCATGTGCTACCCAAGAGGCATTCACAACATTGGCATTCACTCACCATCTTACCCCATCTGCCACAGTCCAGACTTGTTATCATAAAACTTCTGTCTTTTCTCAAAATTGAAGGGATATTTTTGTGTGATATTTCATTTAAGTCGAATGAAGGGGTGGAAAGACTATCAGGATTTTGGGTAAGAGGCAAAGTGAGGCAAAGGCTTTTAAAGTTTGTCCATTATTGGTAGAAGTATATGGTGAATAGCAGCCAATATGTGTGGAAACCTAAATAGAGTAACGAGAGCTCATTTCAAGGATCGTTTTAATATTCCAATTATTGAAATATCCCTATTTTAACTATTTAAATGAAGTCGGAGACATTGTTTTTTCATTCCACTCTGTCAATGCTTGCTTTTTCATTACTTCCTTCCAGTTCCTAAGAAAAGAAACAATAAAAGGCAAGACATCAGGAAAAGAAGGAAAATGGGTGTTCTCATCCTCTCTCCCCACCCCACCCCCAAGTACAAATCGCAGAATGCTTTACCTGGAACTCCATTTTCTCTGTATCATTCTCCTTATTGGCTTGTAGGTCGAAGCTCTGAGCATGGGTTGATGTCTCTCTGCCTAACTCTCCTTGCAGGGCCATTCAGGGCACGTCAGAGGCAGAGGTGGGTTTCAGCAGGTTCTGACCAGTTCTGGAGAACCGGTAGCGGAAATTTTGAGTAGTTCGGAGATCTGGTAGTAAAAATTCTGACTGGCCCCACCCCCATCTATTCTCTGCCTCCTGAGTCCCAACTGATTGAGAGGAAATTGAGATTTTGCAGTAACCTTCCCCTGCCACACCCACCAAGCCATGCCATGCCCACCAAGCCACACCCATAGAACCGGTAGTAAATTTTGTTGAAATTTTGAAAAATTTTGAAACCTGGTCAGAGGTCTACTAGTAGGTATTTGGATATGTACGGAAAATCCATGTGATAAAGCAATGGCCAGCAGGTCTTTTGATACAGATTATACCAATATCTTTCCTTCTGTTCCTGCAACCCATGCTTAGTTGGAGAAATGAGGATGAGGGAGGCATTCCTGCAGCATCTCAGTTGACCACTAAGAACAAGCAGCTTACACACCTAAACTTACTATGTTTTGCTATAGACCTTCATTAGTCAGTCATTCATGCTCAGCAGTAGCACTTTGTGGTGGAACCAGAAAAGGGGGGACGAGGGGGGGGACGGGCGGATGAGCGTCTTCTAGTCAAAGTTATGTGGGCAGCTTCTTGCCTCTTAGAGCAATTTAAAATGTAGACAAGCCGAAATCTTTTAGGCTCATCTGCTTCATTCTGAATTGTAATAGTTTTACTAATTCAAGTAAAGGTCTTTGTCCAGAAACAGCATATAAGCAACAGTTTAATCTGAAATACATGCATACAGAAGATTGTGCATTAGAAAGTAAACACGAAATATTAAAAAAAAAAAAACAGATAAAACAGACCCTTCCCAATTATAACACAAGGGTCATAAATTTTTTGCATTTTGCTATATAATAATATATAGCGAACAAAAGCGTCGAGCAAATGAGAAAACAGGAAGCGCCACAGAACAAAACGAGCATGCGCCAAAGTCTTGTCTTCCTTTCGGCAGCGTCCGGGGACCTCGAATTTGATAGAGCCAGAAATTGTTAGAGTGACAAGACGATGGGCTACGTGGGATTCCTACAATTCACTGGGTCTGATCTGTATTCTGAATTCACTGAAAGAGATCTGCTGGTTCCTGACTCAGAGTCTTGAGCACAGGGTGATTACAGATCAGGCAAAATACTTACTTCATGAAACCACAATTTGGGTAAACCACGGCCGATTCCGGCAATAGGATTTGCCACATTTTCATTTCATCTATGGAGCAACGGGGGCGGCGCCAACAACTTCGTAGAAGGATACAACTGGAATGGGGGAAACCGGTAGGTTGCTTGGGGCTTGCGGGGAAAGGCGAGATATCGGGGTGATTCGTTCATTTAACAAGGTCCCACTTAAGGCTGGTTTCACTCCGCGCCTCCCCTCCTTTGTAGAAAGGCAGCGGATCTCTCTACGCACTTACTTATGGCGGTGCTGCAGCCCTCAACCCAAGGAGCAGCCGACCCCCCCGAGGCGCGCGCTCTCCCGGGTCCCCCTCTGGGAAGCGCGGTAGGGTCGGAGGCTGGCTGGGCTCTAAAGGAGCCTCGGTGCCCTTCGAAGCGCGCACTCCCAATACCGCCCTTCTGGGAGTGGGGAGAAAAAGCAGAAGGAAAACTGGGGTCTTTGGGACGGCGAAGCGTTTCCTACCTTTGAAAGGTGGCGAGGGAGACGGACGGGCCGGTTTTCCTGGCTAGACTGACCCGGGTTAGTGAATACCGGCCGGTGCGGGGAAGAGCACTGGCAGTGGTTCTTTTTGGCTGACCGGCGCCGTTGCAGCCTCTGTGGCTAAAGCCTTTCTCTCTCGCTCTTGATTCCCACGGAGGTCCGGACCCTTCCCTGCCCGTCTGTCCTGGAGTTCTTCTCCGTGGCTCTCCCATCCCCGCTCGGAAGAAAATCCTGCCGGTATAACCTGAAGGGAGGCGGCTCTGCTTCTTGAAAGGCTCCTAGGACAATTCGTTGTAAAGGCGAGAGTCCCGAGGGTCTTCTTCCTCTGCCGCTGGGAGAGTAACCCTGCGGATGCCAGAGTGAAGAAACGATCATATTGAAAGCTTTGCGAGCCTTACCTTGTTAGGGTTTTGGTAGGATCAAAGGAAAAGCAACCAAAGTCCCTTCTCCTTCTCAGCTCACCCCAGCTTTAGTATTAAAATGTGAATCTACTCCTTTACAGGACAGGTGAACCTGGAGAACAATTGGTACCGGCCAGAGATTTTTGAAGAGCTGAGGAGAAGCTGCATCTGATCGTCTTTCTTTCTTGAAATTAAGCATATCCAACAAAGCACTTTCCCTGCCTGTTATCCTCCTGATGAGTTGCAACACTAATTCTTCCCAGTAAGTGAGTAATCCCAGGTGGAGGAAAACCATCAAAGACAGTGTGTTTCTTAATTAAGAGATACAATTGACCTAGATTATTTCATGAATGTGTCAATCAGAACAGATCTTGACTTGCTTGGTGCAAAGGTTCCCAAAATAATTTCTGACAGGTGCCAATGCTGCCCCTGTCCAAAACCTGCCAATCATAAACAAATCTATTATGTATACATAACCAGTTTCTTGACTGATGTTGCCTCTAATAGACTATAGCCCAGAAAAATGTATGTGGTAATAATTTGGAAATCTTTAAGGTGCCACAGGATTCTTTGTGGTTTTACTGTAAAGAAGCAACCTTTTCAAACTTTTATAGCTTGAGAAAATTGCAAGAAGAGATAGGAGATCATTTCAAGAACATATCACCAATTCAGTCTTCTTCTTCTTCTTTTTTTTAAAATTTGATTTATATGCCGCCCTTCTCCGGAGACTCAGGGCGGCTTCCAATGCGTTAAGCAATAGCCTTCATATTTTTGTATATTTATACAAAGTCAGCTTATTTCCCCCACAAACTGGGTCCTCATTTTGAGTGTTCAATAATTTTGCCTTGCATGAATTGGACTATTGTGTATAAAATGGATATTTAACAATAGGGGGATATTCTTACATTTGTAGGGATGTGGAATTGACTTTTTATACCTTCTTGGATGTTAGGTTTCATTGCTTGAAGTGACTTCCTTTTGATACAATGTAATGGAAGAGTGATACTAGAGTACAGCATTAAAATAAGGGATCACATGAAAGCTTTGCATAATATTTATTACAAAACCTGTATTGCTATTTAGTAGTACATGAAGTTAGAATCAAGAATTTCAAGCTAAGCAAGTATGTCAAAATCTCAAATATGTTGTTCTTAGATCAGATGGTACACTTGGCCATGACTATAGTTCATGTTTATTTACTATATACAATAGTTCATGTTTATTTACTATATACAATATAGTATATTCTATATGCAGTATATTCTGCAGTTCTATAATCATTTGTTTAGAATTAAGCTTTATTAAGTTGAATTGGACTCATTTCTTAGGAGACATGGGTAGATTAGCATTCTTACATTTTTTTTCTGTAATCATTCAAATTAATAGTTAAAAGTCAAATTAACAATTCAAGGACAAATATATGATGGTCTAGACTTTTAAAATGCTTTATGTTTTATTTGTTTTTTTAAACAGAACATGATACACCAAAATGAATCCTGTGGTACAGAACAGATACCCATATCCTATTTAACATGCATGTTTTATGTATTAGAAGAATGGACTGGAGTGGAACGCTTGGGAGAATATCTGAGTTACCTCATCTACCTCACATGGCTATTTATGCCACTACTCATAGGTTTTCTACTTCCAGCAGTTATTCTTCTCCTCATTTATATTTCGGCTATCATTGTTCATATTTACAAAAGAAAGACAGACATAAAAGAAGGTTACTTGAATGATTTCTGGGATGGTGCAAGACAAGTGTTGGCAACTATGTGGTATGCTCATGCAAGAATATGGAATGGTAAGTATCCTACCATTCTTGTGCATGACAGTTGTGACTTACATTATCCTCAGTCTGAAAGGCATACATTCATAAAAATCATTGGATAATTTAATAATGCTTAGTTCCAATACCTGTAATTTTTCAAAACAATGCTTTTAGTATCATGTCAAAGATTCATTTTATTTTAGTTTATAATGTTCGCCTTTCTTAAGTTGATAATGCATAAATAAACCTTGTAAAAAAAAGGGGCATATAGAAATATAAGAGAAATGTTCCCCTAATTTGGGGACAAAATTAGTGACACTGTCTGTCACTGACAGTGTCAGACCACTGACAGTGTCAGTGACAGATAGTGGTATATGGTATGTTTCAGGAGCTCAAGTGCAATTTTGTGATATGGTCCCCTCTATTAAGATGGCACTGGCTGTGATAGTGTTGGAAGTTGTGGAAAACACGAACTCTCCTGGACTGCCCCAAGGACGACAGCTGGACCTTTTTGTAAGGAGAATGATAGGCTGCTGGCTGGACTTTCCATGTTTTTGGTCCCTGGAACCGCTAGAGTCTTATAGGTGCAGAAATGAAGACAGTGTCTATATGAAGTCGTGCCATGGGAATTTGACCCTGTTCCTGAGGAAGTGGACAGGATCCTAAGGAATGTGAGCTCTACCACCTGTGAGTTAGATTTATGACTCGGATGGTTGGTAAAAGTTTCCCAGGTAGTGATGTGCTGGTGGGTGCTAACAGTAGTTAATGCATCTTTGGATGAGAGGGTGATGCCCCAGTCCATTAAGGAGATTGTGGTTCACCACCTTAAAAAGCTGTTACTCAGCTTTATCCTGATGGACATTTTCATCCTGTCTCCAACCTTCCCTTTTTGTAGGAGGTTGTTGAGAAGGCAGTCATGCTGTAGTTCCAGAGGATCCAAATTGAAGCAGATTATCTGGACCCCCTTTAGTTGAACTTCGGATCTAAATATAGGATGGAAATAGCATTGATCTTGTTTTTGGATCTCTGGTAGGAGCTAGATGGGCATAGTTAGAGCAAGAGGATAGCAAGCCCTTGGTCTACTTGACCTCTCTGCAGCTTTCTATACCATCAACCGTAGTATTCTGGAATGGCTCTGGGGTTTAGGAATGGGGAACATTGTGTTGTCCCAGTTCACTACCTTCCGACGAAGCCTTTTTCAGTTTTCAGTTGATATTAATTGGGAACAAAAGATTAATTAGGAGTAAAAAATCTACTTATGCCTTCTGCTTTATGAGGTCTTTTAGGGATCAGTGCTTTCTTCACTCCTGTTTAATATCTACATAATGCTGCTGGGTGAGATCATCTTTCACCAGTGTGTAAGATATCATGATTAAGTTAAGAGTACCTGTAGACATTTCCAATTTCAACATTTTAGAACCTCTTTTATCCAATGTCCCAAAGATGCTTTTTCAAAAGGCAACTGAACTTTCTTGTTTTTCTTTAAAGACGTTTCGCTTTTCATCCAAGAAGCTTCTTTAGCTCTGATTGGTTGGTGGGGAATGGAAGGATTTATATTCCTTGCAGACAGTTGGTCATTTGCATTCTTTTACAGAGCCATTGGGGCCACTTGGAGATTTATCTGTGTCCTCAGCGTCACCTGAGTAGTGCAAATGGGTGTGGAGCCTTCTTGGAACTGCTGAAAGGACTGTGTTGTAGATTGAGATAGATGATGTCATATCCCACCCCCTCTATTAAGAGAGAGCTGTTCAATTTTGACATAGATGGCCTCTTTGACCCCTCTTTCAAACCAGTGAAAATGGGGACTTTGCTTTCTCAAAAGAGTGGCCTTTGTCTTTTAAATGCAGATGAACTGCTGAATCTTGTTCTGATGGGTTTGTTCTCCTATGTTGTGCCCTGTGTTTATGAACTTGAATGTAGCATGCATTGATTACAAAGAAGCATTTGACTCCCTGCCACATGATTGGATAATCAAGTGCCTAGAAATAACAAGAATCAGAAGAAACATTAGAAGCTTTGTGCTTCTACAAGATTGATGGCACAATGTGAGATACAGTTTCAGGTCAATGATGAAAGACTGGGAAAAGTTAATATCAATAGAGGATTATTTCAAGGAGATTCACTATCACCAGTGATAATAAACTTATATGTTTATTATTGCACTGATTTCTCTATTGACAATATTGAAAAACCTAGGCCATGGCTATCAAACATCAAAAACATCTGCTAGACTATCTCACCTCCTTTATATTTACTTTACATCAGATCATTTATGGATGCTCTGAAGCTATATGTAAAAACACCATCTGAAATAGAATTGCTGCTCAAACTGTTCATATATATACAGCCAAGATATTGCACCACCATCAAACGGGGAAAAATAGTGAATAACAAAGGAATCAAGATGCCCTATGGAAATAACATCAAGAGTCTGGATGAACTTGATCACTACAAATACCTGGGTATCCTTCAAAGCTGACAATATCAAGAACACTCAACTCAAGAAAAAAGTTACTGTGTTTTCCCGAAAATAAGACCAATGCCAAAAATAAACCCTAGTTTATTACATGTGCGTCCATTATAAGCCCTACCCCCAAGCAGGCACGTAACAGCACACTGACTGTGCAACAAACCAGTAATATGTTCTAAGAACTTCACCATTTGGATTGCCTCTTTCGATCTTGTTTGCTAAGAAGAAAGCCATTACATATTTTGTCATGCTATATTTACTTCCTATATAGAATAGGAATGTTTTTAAAAATGCTTTAAAAACTGCATTTATCAAAAATAACCAAGATTGTGAAACTGAATTACTTGCTATACAAGAAGCTAAGAAATTCAATTTATATATGTTAATTTATGATTTTGGTATCTCTGTATCCTAAATAAACCATGTAATCCAGAAGCAATTATTTTTCATTAGCTAGCCCAAATTCATTTTGATGATGATAATTCTCCAAAACAAGAAGGCCGTATGTCTGATTGGCATAAGTAATAAACAAATTGGCGAATATTAATACAAAGATGTTCAACTGAAATGGAATTATAATGTAACAATAATTGCCATGCGTTGTAATGTATTTATAGTTGGTATCTTACTCAGCAGTTTCATAATTTTAATACCTTAAGAATATTTTGTTAAATAAACTTGGTATCACATGCTAACCTTGAATGTTTCAGGTTATGAGGTACATGGTCTTGAAAAACTACCAAATGGACCAGCAGTGATTATTTTTTATCATGGAGCAACTCCATTAGACTTTTTCTACTTGGCAGCCACTGTTTTTATCAGGAAAAAAAGAATCCTCCATGTAGTTGCTGATCATTTTGTGTTTTCAGTTCCAGGTAATTGTCCTGAGCAATTAAGAAAAACTATACATCTCAAATAATGTACAGTATGGATAAGCTTTACTTCACATTTTGGTTGTGATGTATATATTGAAAGGTAGCAGTAAACTAAATTATTTTCTTATTTTAAATAACAATTCAGTTACTAATTAATCAAGTATGGCTTGTTAAGATTTAATTTCCTATCCAGAAGTCTTACACAGCCGCACTCTGTTTAAAAGAAAAGTGAATTCCCATGTAACTTAGGTATACCATTGTATTGGCTTTGGATTTCAAATTTCTTATCATGAAGCCTTTTGTAGCTACCTTATAGTTAAATTGTTTCCAGGTAGTGATAGTTGAGAAAAAGTATTTTTTAAATTATCAATATGATGTAGACTTTACAGCAGAAAATATATACTGCATAAATTTTATAACAATATTTGGTTATTGGATATTGATTGGTAGATTTCTTATCAGGATAATTTTTTATTATAAAAAATTATAAATTTATAATTCTTATCACTGATCGTTGATTTGAATGTATTTGATTAGATATGGATTAGTGAAAATCTAATCCTTTTTGTCTTTCTCATAATTTATATCTGCTTTGTAATTCATTGTTTATTCTATATTTTTCTAATAAAATATAGTATCTATTGAGATATCATAATTTTATATCAATATTAGTCTTACAACAGATTCTTATGAATTCCAGGTATAAAGTTATTAATTGATGTGATCCGTGTTCTGCATGGATCGCAGGAAGAATGTAGAAAAGTATTAGAAAATGGAGGACTGGTGGTAATTTCACCAGGAGGAGTACGGGAAGCACTGTTCAGTGATGAAAATTATACTATTATGTGGAAAAATCGTAAAGGGTTTGCTCAAGTGGCCACTGATGCAAAAGTGGTAAGTATTCTGTGGGAATAACTGGAATATAAGATTACAGCTGTTTATGCATGCCATGTTTAGAAGCAGGAAAGGGAAATTTAATGTTGAAAACCATGTAGTTTTTTAAAAAATAATGTATTTTTTACTTTATACATCACTATATCAGAACTGTTGAAGGAAGAGAGGGAAGAGAGAGACACACCAGTATCAGACTGTATCTATAGAGTTTATTTACAGTCTCTCTTTGCTTTACTAGAATCTGAGGTATCAAGTTCTACTTACTCTGATCTTTTTAAAAAATATTTTCCACACTTCTAGAAACTCTTATGAAATGTATTCCTTGAGCATGTTAGTTTCTGTATTGGTTTGCTATACTTCCTTATGTAAACTAATTTAATTTACATTTTAATCACTTAATATATTATTTTAAAAAATCAATTAAAAATAGTTCAGTCTTTTTCAAATTTCTCCAACTTTTTAGAAAAAAAGTTAGGAAAAAAGTGGTTTTGGCATTGGGCAATGGGTGGGAAAGGAGCAGTTTTCTAGTTTGGTCCTCTGTTTGGCTTTTTTTGCCGTATAAAAACAGCTGATGTAATCCTATAACTGTATACACATTAAAAAGAGTCATAACTATGTATTAAGAAGGGCAAGGTGAGAATGTATCTATTCAGAGATACATTCAATACAAATTTCCCATAGTATTTATATAAATACTATGACATTATGTACAGGGATGGGCTGTGGGGGGTTCACAGTGGTTCTTGAGAACCTCTAGCTAAGATTCTGTGCAGTTTGGAGAACCCCCAAATACCACTACTGGCTGGCTCCACCACCCCGCCCCACCCCTGCCAGGAGTCCCCACGCGGTACTTCTTTTGGATGCAGGTAAGTGCAGGGCGTACACGGAGGCTCGGGGAGGGCGAAAAACGGGCCTACCGGAAGTTCAGGAAGGCCAGAAACGGGCTCGTTTCCAGCCTCCAGAGGGCCTCAGGAGCCTGGAGAGGTTGTTTTTGCCCTCCCAGAGGCTCAACAAAAGCCTCCAGAGCCCAGGAAGGGCAAAAACAACCCCCTGCCATGGTGCAGGAGGCCAACTAGGCCATGCCCACCATGGCCACGCCCACCCAGCAATTGGGTAGAGAATCCCTTGGTAAAATTTTTGAAGCCCACCCCTGATTATGTACTATGGTAATTTTTACTTAATACCAGGTTAATGCTAATTAATAGCTGACACTGAACAATTCAAATACCGGTAATCCAAATTTTATGAATCAAATTCTAATATAGTCTTTCTGGGGTTTATCTTATGTTTCCTTTGGTTGGTCGCTACTTTTGTAGTGACAAATGCATCACTGTTTCTACTGCAGTCTTCACAGGGACAAATTGGAAAGCCAGTTGGCATCAGCGAAATCCTGTTTTTTAAAGCATTGAAGCAGATACAGCCCTTAGAAGCTTCCGTGGGTTTTCAGGAACCTTCCAGATGTATCTGCACAGCTGCTTTGCTTTGAGGGTATTTCCACCTAAAATATTGCCTCACACACTTTAATGGACAACCTAAGAAATTCTTCAAGGAGTTGTTTGAGCTTCCAGATACAGCAGCTGAATGAATGTTTTCAAGCATGAATGCATTGCTTGTGCCAATACACTTTGCAAAATGCCTTTCCCATTCTTAATGTAGACAAAATTATTATTACCAGCATCTCAGATTTCTCCATAACGTCTTTGATAAAAGATGAAAATTTGAGATGTCCTAGATAATTTTCTATTTTGTTAATTGCTTGCAGGACAAGCAATTTTGCTTTTCTGAAATGTGAAGAACTTCATGCATAAAATTGCAGGTATATAGAGCAGTGAAAAAAAATTAATTTATTTAACATTGTAGCTGAAATATTCTCAGAGTGCAGCCTACAATTCCTAGAGATTGAATACTGAAATAGCAATAATGGAAAACTTATCTAACTTTGTAGTGAGAAGGTTGGATTCAGAATGGATGACTAAGACTCAAATTCTCTGTAAGTTACAAAATTCACCCACTGAGTGCTTACAAAAAAAGAAAGATACTTTAGTTTCTTACATCAACTACTAGATGGAAATGTGACAAAGAAATAGTTTCTTATACTTTTTTCTCTTCATTTTTCAGTTAATCTGTTTTATCTGCTTTTAGATCCAAGTATTTAACTTTGTGATTTAGTAAAAAAAATATCAGTTGATTATGGGAAATAAATTGTTAATACATATCTTCATTAATCTATTCTTTCAGCCCATCATTCCTATGTTCACACGAAACATTCGGGAAAATATTCGAGTAGTTGGAGGACAAATAAGTATGCAACTTTATTTGGATTGTTTTGTATTAAGTCAATTGTGATTACATTTTGTTCGCCCTGATTAGAGCTATTTTGACTCTTATGCCTATAGTGCTGGAAATAATTTTAAATAAAATGCTCTGGTTTTTAATAACATGCTCTAACATATAAATAAGTTGCTTGACCTTTTCTACAAGAGGAAACCGTTATTTTATTTATATATTGTCTTTCTGCGGCAGCTGAAAGCAACATATCTGTATTTCCCCTGTTTTTAAAGTCAGATCAACAATACTCTGGAATAGATTTATCTGTCTCAATGTAAAGTTGTCCTGAGATCTGCATGAAGGATAGACAAAATTAAGTACCGCAGATGAAATCCATGTTCATCTCTTTAATCACTGCACTACACTACAGCCTGGGCATGTAGAATTTGTTGGCTGTTCTGCATGACAACAGAGAATTTTTTTATCATTTGCTTTTGAGGTTTGATATTTCTCCTTTGAGAGATTAATTTTACAAAATAAAAACCTGAAAACATTGACAAACTCAATTACAAGGCCAGTTTAGTATAGTGGTTAAGGTGCTTGACTAGAAACTGGGTCACTCTGAGTTCTAGTATTCTCTTAGGCCTAAAACCCAATTGGGTGATTGTGGCCAGTCAGTCGTATCACAGGATTGTTGTGAGTAAAATATGAGGCAGCAACATTATATCCAGTACCTTTGCTATATAAAATAAAGTGGATATAAATTAAAATTATTGTTGACAAATATAACTCATAAGAACAGTTCTTGATAAAGCAAGAAGCATACTGCATTCTAAGCCATGGTCAAAGAGAAATATGCTTCCACCGCCTATCTATGAATAATGTAGAGGTTTCTGGTTGGCTACTAAATGGCTGATAAAGCAAGAAGCAGCAATATAGTAGCCAACCAGATATCTCTACATTATTCATAGATAGGTGGTGGAAGCATATTTCTCTTTGACCATGGGTTAGAATGCAGTATTGTCAGCTAACACTGGCCACAGCCCAGGAGTTTGATCCTGATTAGCTGAAGGTTGACTCAGCCTTCCTTTCTTCCAAGGTCAATAAATTGAGGACCCAGATTGTTGGGGGCAATATGCTGACACTTGTAAATCATTCAGAGAGTGCTATAAAGCACTATGGAGCAGAATATAAGTCTAAGTGCTATCACTAAGTGCTATTGTTCCCACTATTCACAGAACTGCCTTCCATCAACTTACATATCTGCTTTTAGAATAATTTGGGTTAATGGACATCACCATATTTTATGGTAATGACTTCCATAGGACTCTGGCACAACATCCTTACCTTGCTCTGATTTGTGTTAGGAAGCAATATTCTATAGATTTCTAAGTGCCTCGGTCCTTTTAGGTGAAATTAGAGATGACATCTTCCATGAAGATGACTTCCAGACTCCAAACGTGTTCCAGACCATTACAAACCAGTATAGCGACTATCTGCAAGCACTGCTTCTCCTTGCAGTTACCTCTCTTCTGTTTCCTCTCCTTTCACTAGATCCTAGTTTTTTAGCCTGATAACTTTCTCTATCCTTTAATATGTTTAGCAAACTGCCATGCAGCTTTAATTTCCTAATGCAGAGGTCAAGATGATGGCACTAACTTGTTCAGATTTGTGTCAGGAAGCAATTTTATACAGATTTGTGATTGAATCACTACTTCTTGGATTTTTCAAATGAACAAATGGGTAAAAATATACAATTGTAACTGCTACCCTATTAATCCCTCTTTTTTCAATTAATCAGAATCATTAAGATCGATATATGAGTATTTTCGTTTGCCACCAGCTCTTCTGTATGGAAACTTTCCAGTTAAATTACAAACTTATTTTGGAGATCCTATTCCATATGATCCAAACACAACAGTAGAAGAACTGACCGAAAAAGTAAGATCTTCCTTTTTGAATATGAATATCTTGATTGCCAGCTCACAAGGTTAAAATAAAGACTCCTGAATGTATTGCCAAAATAATTTCATCTTATACTATATGGATGTTCAGAGAACATTTGTGTGATTCAAACTGTGGATCAAAACATAAATTTTGATTCAAATAAATAGTACAAAAAACACAGGGTTGTTTGAAAATTAGGCTGAATGAAAGGTTAGGAAAATTCTGTCAATATCTACTGATTTGTTTTCTAGGCAAAGTTCCCTAAGTACAAGGAATCCTTGAATTTTATTCATTATTTACGTAGCAGCAATATTCTCCAGTTTTCTTAAACTTTTAGTTGTTCTTAAATGCATAATGGTCGATTATTTATAATTTAAATATTTAGGAACTGCTTTTAAATGTTTTTTATGAATTGATTCAGAACTATTTGGAATTCTTTTTTGTTTTAAAAGGTAGCATTTTAATTTGTGAGTTCATTAAAATTATAGAAATAAAAATATATTTTACAGTTCAATCATATAGAAGCAAAAGTACATTATGATGTAATTTGCATATCTTAAAGAACTTTTATAGAGCCAAAGAATAAAAGATCACCTATCGACAATATGATAGTAAAACTTAGCAATCAGCAGCCATTAAAGATGGTTTTTCAAACTTTTTTTAAAAAATAAAAATAGAGAGAGAGAGAGAGCGCTAGCTGCATATCCTTCGGGAGGCAATTCACTGTGGTTGGAACCATTTACAAAAAAGATTCTGTAGCTAAAGTCTATCAGTCAGATTAAATTTAAGGCCTCAACAAAATTTCAAATGGATCAGAAGTGATAAGTCCCACCCTACATGCACTAATTCACTTTTATGAAAATAATTATTTTATTCTTCTTGCCAGATTAAGGTTTGTCTTTGATCATGAACACTTTTTTCAGTGAAGATGTGGGAGAGAGTATGAAACTATATGAAGTCTCCTAAAATTAACTATGGTAGTTACTTTTCATGCGTGAATAATTTGGAATTTTGTCAAGCATATATGGTTAGTAACAGAATTAATGTCCTCAGAATAGTTTGTTGTAAAGGATTTCACATTGCTCAGTGGAGCTTGGAGTTCAGAATGCCTTGCCATTCAGCAGAGGGCAGAATTTCCTTTTAACTAACACAAAATCAGAGCAGCTGAGGACAGCGTGGTTGAAATCTACTCCTTTGTTTATTATTTGATTTTGTAGTATCTAAAGTATAGATTGTCTGATGAAAACTAATTTCCACAACAATAAATCTATATATTTTGTATTTGTGTTGGTTCTGTAATTTCATGGTTAAATTACTGAATGTCTGGTTAATGTCATACTGTAGTTTGAAAAGGATTCATTGTTGCTTTTGATTTTTAAATGTAATTTACCTTTGAACAATGCAATAATAAATAATTTATATTTATTATCCTTCACTCCCCCCATAGGCAAAGGATGCACTACAATGTTTAATAGACAAACATCAGAAAATTCCAGGAAATGTGTGGAGGGCTTTGATGGAAAGAGTTACAACAGAGAAACAAGACAATGAATAGCTTTGACAAATCATTGTGAAAAATGTTTTGAATGATATTTAATGTGATATATGATTTAAGAATTGTTACAATAGTTTTTTATTTGCTGTGCAAATGTATAATTTTACAGAAAACCGGGCTTTGAAGATCATTGTTACATGTATTGCTCAGGAAAGTAAATCTTTCAGTATAAATTCAACTCTTCACAGAAATAAAACTATAGTTTAAAAAGCACAATCCTAATTAGGAATAAGATGTAAAAATGATTTTTAGGCTTTTTGAAATGCCTCAAATACATAGCCTATTTATAGTACTTCTTAAATTAAATGTAAACTTTAAATGGATCAGGATTAAATGTTGTATTTTTGTAAAACTTGGATTTTTTTATTTCATGTATTCTCCAGTTACCAAAAGTTTAAAGTAATCAAATTTATGTATGGAGAAGCTACTTATATGAGCGAGAAAGATCCAGTATCTGTATTCATTAATACTTAGAACTACACTTAGAATTTAGTTCTATTTTACTGACCGGTACTACGTATACTGGTACTTAAAAAGAGAAAATTAATTTAAGGCTTTTTAAATAATATGAGAGGGATGCAGTGGCTAAGACGCTAAGCTTGTCGATCAAAAGGTCGGCAGTTCAGTGGTTCGAATCCCTAGTGCCGCTAACAGCATTCCGAACGCCTTTGGCATTTAGTCATGCCAGCCACATGACCACAGAGACGTTTTCGGACAGCACTGACTCTTTGGCTTTGAAATGGAGATGAGCACCACCCCCTAGAGTCAGGAACGACTAGTACATATGTGTGAGGGGAACCTTTACCTTTACCTTTAAATAATATGAATTGGCACTGCATAAAGAAGAATTTCTGCAGTAGAAATTGCTTTGCTATTTTCCAGGAAGTATTACATTTTGGGCAAACTGCTAATTTATTATGAATTTGTATGTCCTGGAAATTAAAATTCATAGATTATAGGTATACTTCTGTGCCAAGACAGTGCAAAGCCACCAAGATGTGCCTTATTTACTATAGTGATTCTGGGATCAATAATCATTCGAACAGAGGCTTATATAGCAGGTTACAATGCCATCAAAGTGAGAATATTTGCATAGGAAGGTGAAATGTTAATCCTTTTATTGGGAAGTATCTGTCTCCCAAGAACATGTATTCTCCACTTTGATTACAGTTAATATAGAGAGTGGGCTAAGTATTAATGAATAGGTCAATTCATGTATCTTAAATCAAGGATGTCTCTAGTCAAATGGTTGAATTAAATAGCATGACACAAGTTCTTTATTGTATCATTTGCACTACAAATGTCATTGTGGCTTGCTATATATATGTTCAGACCTATGATTGAATGATTATTGACAACTTTTTTTACAATGCCCTTCATGGATAGTCAGCAACAACTAGCAGAGTAAAATCTGCAGGAATCCTTGTTCATGTTGCCATTCTGAATGTTTTTTAGATTCCTCATAGTGGGATTCTGTTAGATTCTGTTTTAAACATTCCATATATGTTTATTGTGCAGATTTATAACTGTCCAAACCTACTTATGAGTAGCTTATTGATGGTATATACGTAGGATATTTATTTTGTTGTTTTCATTAATGCAAAATAACTTCAAACTTTGGGGAAGAAAAGTATATTTGAGAATGTTCTGACCAATATTTTTACTTTTGGGTGGAAGGATAGTTCTCCAGAGCTCTTATATGAAAACCATTCTGTGGTTCTGTACTAACTATTATAATCCATAAAGCAGGACTTTCTTTAAAAATTTAAGTATTTATTATATAATCTTTTTTCAGATTTCGGCATGCATAAGGAACTCCATCCAAATTGTTTTAAGAAGATGCCATGTAAAGCTAGAGTGTTTTGCCATGAGCCTATTTCTCTGTCAGGATTTTTGGAGTGGGATGGGGATCTCTGAGCATTGAAATGTATCCAATTAATGAAAATAGAACTCCTGGAAATATATTATAAGATATAGACATGTAGCTATCAAAGAAAATACTTTTTTTCTGGAAGTAAATTACATCAAATATTTTATTGCGACATGCACTACTTTAACTATTTATTAATAGTAAATGATGACAAATATTTTCTTTCTTATTATCCACTGAATCTACTGTATTTGGTAAATGTAAATCTGATGTTATATGATCACATTTAATCTTACTTTTCAATTCCCTTAAGACCTTAAAAGGAAACAAATTGTTATGATGACCATTTGATAATTATCATTAAAAGGTTGGACTTAGAAATAGTCACTACTATAATGATTTGTGAAAAGTGTTAAAGAGATAGAGAAGTAATCCAACAGGTAAAGAAGGGACCAATGCCCATATTTAGGAAAACCTTTTCTCTCCATTTAAGGATTTTTTTTTTAAGTTCTCTTGCTGTTACAAAATGTATTGCTTTTACTTTAAATTAGCATTTTCAATTTCATTTGCTGTTTAATTATTTTCTTTCAGACTGATTATTCAATGTTTAGATTATTAAAAAGTGTTTGTAAGGTATTTCCAGGAGTGATATAGGAAACATAAATATTTTGAAAACAGGGTTATGGATACTGCTGGATATTTTTTTTTTCTGAATAAGCTTTTAAATCACTTAAATGATGGTAACAGATTGAAATATAGTTCATTTTTAAGAATATTTAAACATATTTTATCTGCAGTTATTCCTTACTGTTTTTATTTTTATGTCATGTGATGAAAAATACCTACTGAATAAAGCTGAAGTAACAATTAGAAATATCTTTACATATTATATTACTGTGTGCATTCTATTGCTCTTAGTTTTTTTTTTTCTTGAATACCATAGTTACTGAAGAAAAAGACCATATAAATAAAACAATCAAATGAAAGCAAGGAGAAATATAATTAGTAGCCAGAAACAATAAAGCAGAAATAGCAATAGCACTTAGACTTATATACCTCTTCATAGTGCTTTTACAGCCCTCTCTAAGCGGTTTACAGAGTCAGCATATTGCCCCCAATAATCTGGATCCTCATACGGAGAGGGCTTGCAACTTGGGCGTCCTCCTGGACGCACGGCTGTCTTTAGAAGAGCATATGACGGCCATGGCCAGGGAGGCTTTTTATCAGGCCCCCCTGATTCGCCAGTTGCGTCCCTTTCTGGATCGGGACTCTTTACGCACGGTCACTCAGGCACTCGTCACCTCCCGCCTGGACTACTGTAATGCTCTCTACATAGGACTGCCCTTGAGGAGCACCCGGAGGCTCCAACTGGTGCAGAATGCGGCCACGCGGGGGATTATGGGAGTGACGGGGCGCTCCCATGTGACACCTCTCCTGCATGAGCTGCATTGGCTCCCGGTGGTCTTCCGGGTGCGCTTCAAGGTGTTGGTTACCACCTTTAAAGCGCTCCATGGCTTAGGGCCCGGGTATTTACGGGACCGCCTTCTGCCACTGATAGCCTCCCACCGGCCAGTACGCTCCCACAGAGAGGGACTCCTCAGGGTGCCGTCGGCCAGACAATATCGGCTGGCGACCCCCAGGGGGAGGGCCTTCTCTGTGGCAACACCTATCCTCTGGAACGACCTGCCCCCAGAGATATGTAGGATCCCAGATCTCCATGCTTTTCGCCGTGCCCTTAAAACTTTTTTATTTCATCAAGCCGGGCTGGCTTAACACCTTCCCCCCCTTAGATATTTTCAATTGTAAATGGATTTTAGTTGGGGTGTTTTAAACTGATTGGGCCAAAATTTTGTTTAATTCTTTTTTAAAATTTAAATTTGGTATGTGATATTTTTATTCTTGGCTGTTCACCGCCCTGAGTCCTGTGGGAGAAGGGCGGTATAAAAATCTAATAAAATAAATAAATAAATACTAAAATCATATGTTTTCAGTAGCATTAAATACCTGGAGAGCCTTCATAAGTGATTTTTTTAGCATTAGTAAGTTAATTGTCAAATGGCTGCTTTAAAGGTTTTTTCCAGTTGTCTCTCTATCTTATGTCCAGGGAAAGTCTTTGTGTGTGGATAAAACCTTGAAAGAGTTGTATATGTTTTCTGGAAGAGTAAGAGCAGGAGTACTTAGAGTGATTTGTAGCAAATCCTGCCTGTCTTCTTCAGCACCACAAAGGGAAACTATTTCTCTCCTTAAAGCCTTTAGGATGCAACATCATCTCCCCTAACCTTAACTCAGAGGTGTCAAACTCGCATCGTCACGATGGTGCCACGTGACATATCGGGACTTTTCCCCCCTTTGCTACACTGGGCAGGGGCAGAGCCAGCACGTGACACAACCGGGCCACAGGCCACAAGTTTGACACCCCTGCCTTAACCCATTGATTTTCTATCAATTCATTCATGTATGTTTCATTATAGCCTGTTTTTATTATTTTATATTACAAATAGAAATAATTTAAGCCAATGAACACATCCAACACATGTGTCTATGGAAATTCTGAATTATCCAGCTCATGGTTGTCCCTTTTTGTCTTTAAAAGGCAACTGGACTTTCTTGGTTTCTTCCTTTGAAAACATTTTACTTCTTATCCAAGAAGCTTCTTTAGTTCTAACTAACTGGTGGGGAATAGAAAGATTTATATTCTTTGTAGTCATCTGGTCATTAACCACTCTGAGAGTTGTTCAGGCCACTTGGGGATTTAACAGTATCCTCAAGAATCAGAATGCAAACAGGTATGGAACCTTCTTGGGATTGCTAAAAGGACGGTGTTGAAAGTGGGAGATAGGTGATGTCGTATCTCTCCCCCTCTATTAATATAGCCTCTTTGACAACTCTTTCAAACCAATGATGCCCTCTGTCCAGAATGTGAACCTTGCTGCCTTCAAAAGAGCGAACCTTTTCTTTCAGATGAAGATGGACTGCTGAATCCTTTCCTGATGACTTTGCTCTCCTGTGCCATGTGTTTGTGAAGTGCTTGTTTAGTTTGCCCAGGTCTGTACATACCTCACTGCAGTGCACTGCATATCAACATTACTCTGTTTGTATCTGGGTGTTTTGTCCCTGGGATAGACAAGCTTCCGTCTTAAATGTACTCTGGATTAAAAGTGTGCATGTATATCGTGTTTATTGAAAGGCTGTGTTAAAATTGAATAGCTCTGCCTCAACAGAGGGAAAGGGATACAATACCACCTATCTCCTGTTTACAATGCAGTCTTTTCAGCACTCCGAAGAAGGTTCCACATCCAGTTGCACTCTGATTCAGGTGACTCTGAGGATAGAGATAAACTCCTAAGTGGCCTAAAAGGACTCTCAGAAAGGCAACAACTGACCCTCAATGTGATAACAACCTGATGTCTACAAAGAATATAGATTCTTCCATTCGCCATCAGTTAGAAAAAATTTCTTGGATGGGAAGCAAGACATTTTCAAAGGGAAAAAAGCCCAAAAAATCCAGTTGCCTTTTGAAAAAAACTAGAACCTTACAGTTATTGAATGCAATTTCCCCCTATTTTCCTCACAACAAGAACTCTCTGAGTTCAACTGAGAGAGACTGGCTCCCTGGTAAGGCCACCCAGCTAGCTTTCATGACTAAGGTGGAACTTGAACTCAGTCTCTTGCTTCCTAGCTTGGTGCCTTAAACATTAGACCAAACTGGCTATCATCAATTTCTCTTCCTTTTCACATCAAGAGATTTCCAATGTTCTTCCCGTGCTGTCTTTTTCAACTTTTTCATTCCATACATATGTGACAGTAATTGATGGTTTCTATTGACATCTGGGTTCTGCATCTTTTACCACACTTGATAGTTAGTTTCCTGATTTGCATATTATCTCAGTTTTATACATGTATACTATTGTCTGGAGTTAGCTATCAGTTTTTTGACGAACATAGTTCACCTGCAAAATTAAAGTTTCATGTGGCAGGGTGTGCAATAACTTTGATTGGAGAAGAGCTGAGCAGAAATGGCGCTCTGGAATTCCTAAAAAATGAATGGCAGAGAAGCCACAAATACATTTTCCTAAATAAATTACACAATCTCTCTTAATTTCTTCAGGAAAAAGTCAAATTCTGTAGCAGTTCCTCAAGAGCAGAACTCCCCTTTGATGTAGATAAGAGAATAAGTCTTTTGTGATTTAACTGAAGCATGGGAAGCAGAGAGACAGGACCAATTGAGATTTTATTTACCAAATATGGACATTGTCCATCTCCCTCACAGAGGGACTGTAGGTGGTGTACAAACAAAATATTAAAACATAAAAATTGTACATAAAATTTTAAATAGGCAAGGATAGTTCAAATTCAAGATTAAAAGTTAATTGAAAAGTGAGAGGAGAGCCTTTATGGTACTAACCAGCTTCACGGCTTTGTGCTGTTAGGTGAGCCCCAAGCAAGATAGCAATGCCAGGTCTTTAGACATTTCTGAAAGGCCATGAGACTGGAGGCCCGGCTCACCTCTGAGGGGCTGCAATGCCCCAAAGGACCGGTGCAATGGTAGAGAAGGATTTCTTCCCTGACATTCAGTGGTGGGTTGCCCCGATTTGAACCAGTTCTATAGAACCAGTAATAAAACTGGTGGGAGGCTCCACCCACTGACCCTGACATCATCAGAAGCGATCTGCGATCCCGTTGCGAACCGGTAGTAAAGGTAAGTAGAACCCACCCCTGCTGACATTGCCAATAGGAATCCTATAATTCACAGTTTACACATGTATTTGCAGCATGAATGCAGAATGGGCTGATGTGATGAGGCAAAGACAGTTCCGTAGATAACTTGGTCTCACGCCACCTAGGACTTACCTGATGTAACCTGGTTTGCTAATGAAACATCTGAAGAAACCATCAAGCTCAAAAGGCACCAAAGACTCCACAGTTCAACCCCAGCTACTAATATTCTCTATCAAGTAAAGTCTTTGTATCCTTGACCAGAACCTCGTAAAAGCAACAGAAGGTATTTTAATTTGAAATATATGCATAAAGAAAATTACGCATTAGTATGAAAATATAAAACAGAGATAAAGTACAACCTACCCACCCAAATTTTAACATAAAAGTCATAAAACTTTTCGTGGTTTTTCTGCAAAAGGCTAGCATGGCTCCCCTTGGAAATAATACACTATGAGTAATACAGTAGTTTTCACTAAACCGGGGTGAAATTCAGCAGGTTCTGACAGGTTCTGAAGAGCCGCTAACGGAAATTTTGAGTAGTTCGAAGAACCAGCAAATACCACCTCTGTCTGGCCCCAGAGTAGGTGGGAATGGAGATTTTGCAATATCCCTCCACGAGAGTGGGGACAGAATGAGGATTTTGCAGTATCCTTCCCCTGCCATGCCCATTAAGCCACATCACGCCCACAGAACTGGTAATAAAAAAAATGTGAGATAGACAAGAGTCGGGGGTATATAGGAGCTGGGACAGATGGTATGCTTGGCTGCAAAAAAAGAAATCTTAAGAAAAATGAAAATATTAACCTTAATGTGAACGTGGGTAAATATTTACAGGAGTATTGCATGACAATTGAGAATTCTTTTTTCTAGTTAAACTTTTCTTTCTTTTGATGAGTTAGCTTAATGGAAGTTTGTAGTTTCTCCAGGCGAAAATTGATACTTTAAAACTCTATATGTATTATATTACTCTCTGCAATTCTATCCATATTATTATATTTTTTTCTGTATTTTTTAATAATTTTCAATAAAAAATTTAATTAAAAAAATGGATTTCACCACTGCTCTAAACTCTAAAATGCAAATAAAGTACACATCTAAAATTTTTTGCATTATATATTCAAGCCCGGGCGCAAAAATGCGTCAAACAAATGAAAA